TATATATATTAATGCATATGTATTATATGCATTATATTGCATTGCCATGTACTGAAATAATAACAGGAAGGAGAATTCCAGTTTGAGATTTAATTTCTGATTTTCAAGTATTATTTGTTGTTCTAACACATGAATGAAATGGCAATTAAATTAGCTTAAAAGTTAAGAAATGTCAGTAATTCTACTAAGCAGGTGCCTGCTAACATCTAGAGTATATTTCCATTGCTACTTACATTCGGCTGATGAAACTACGGAATGTCCCAACACAAAACATGCTCATAAAGCAAACAAACAAATACTGCAAGTGTTGCACTTGCATAAATTGTGCATAGCAAACTTAAAAAAAAAAAAAGTGCTACCTCCACTCACAGTTATCTTTGTTTCTGCAAATTGACTTCTTGAGTAGGGCTATGGAAGATTTATAAAAAGGATTGTTATGTCATGGTTTGTTTCCCCATTTATCATATGGGCTTGAAAGCAAAGGCAAACCCATAAATGAGCAGGAGTTAAGAGCAATCATCCTTTTAGAAAACAGAATGCCCAAGTATTGCATTTCTAATAGTCAATATTAACTAAGAAGTCAATACTAACTAAGAAATCTTATTAATGAGCCCCTCTATCACTAGGGCTATAAAATGTTTTATACTGTATAGTGGGAGAGGGGTAAATAGTTTTCTCAAAGTTCACATGATTCATAGCATAAGTTATAAAAGCCACTTGAATATTCAAGAATATTAGAAATTAAAATCATAATAGTATGAGTTTATCTGTACAGATACATTGACAATTAATCTGAAAAATGAACTTTTTTAAAAATAAAGAGAAGTTACAAAGTACTATTGCAACAGTTCTGTTAATCCTGCTCAGATTAAAAACTCAGCTTTTGAAGGAAATCGTCAAAAGTAAAAAAAAAATAGAAAAAAGTTTTGGTGTTTTGGGGTTTTTTTTGTAAGAGCCCGTATGACTGCTGCCACACAAAAGCCACAATGGATGTAAATATTTAGATAAGAGTTAAAATAGTTTTTGAAGGCACCATTAAAATAAGGAAAACATGCTTTTCTACAGTAATTACACTAGTTGGGCATAGGTATTTGTATTATCAGTATAAGCATGCAAATCATGCTCATTGCACTAGCAGTGAATTTTGATGCTCAGTTTAAAGCAAATTATGGGGGATTTATCTTTGCCTAATGCTTAGCTATTTTAGGAAGTAAATGTTGCCAAACTGAAACCTTGCTCATTTTTCTAAAAGCCATTCACCTAGAAGCTTACATGTAACATATTGCTCCTCTTCCTTTATTTAAATTATATCAATGTCCAAATTTGCTAAACTGGCTCATAATTACTTCTGTTGTACTAATGATCTCATTTCTTGGAAACAATATAGTGACTTTTCCCCTAACAGGTAAAAATATATTGCTTTGTCATAATTATTGCTGGGAGAGACAAATATCTATCTTCTCACGTTCATCAGAGCAAGCTATATCATTTATGTTTCTTTGTAAAACAAAGAACTATTACATGTTGCACAAATATGCTCGATATTTTGTTAATGCCTCACTCTTTCTACTATAATACTGCTATACCCGTATTTACTTCCTTATCAGAAAAATGTGATTTTCAAGAGTAATGTTCATACCTGGCTGACATATGATAGAAAGGCAATAAAACCACAGCTAGGTTCAAGCTGAAGCTGAATTTATGACACCATTTTGGAACCATACGCATCGCCTCCTGTCAGTACCTGCATCTCTCATTTTCAACCACTAGATGGTGTGAAGAAATAAAAAAATTGCCAAGGATTCCTGCCGAGAGCCACAAAATCTAAGTATTAATGTAGTGGATTAGGAAATATTTTTTGAAGAACAGTCTTGACTCACTTCAGGATGGTTAGGTTCACTTTTCCTTTCGTTATATTTTCACTTCCCAGACAAAGAGCTCGTAAATGATCAGATCTTGAAATTGAATCAAGTGGAGGGTTAAGATGGATAATTCTCTGGCACTTTCCCCTCCAAGGACCCTAAATTCAGAGCTGACAGTAGTGGCCAACACTCATTTTTCTGCAAAAGCTGTAACAATCTTTAAGCGAAACAGGGCTGAATCTTCTGGGCTGTATTTTGGAGTAGAAATCATTCCCAGGGCGGCTCTATATATCTGGAGCAGCAGCAAGCTTGTTCCAAGGACAGATTATGGATTAATCATGGAATAACCACAAGACAGTTGATATACAGAGGACAGCTTAAGCTACTGTTTTTCTGTTCTGCTCCATTTTTTAAATTAAATTTCTCACTCTTTTTGGGAAGGAGTAGCAAATGATTTCTTCACCTACAAGCTGAAGATTAAGATTTTATTAGTCCCCGTATCGTACCAGAGCACAACCCACAAAGAGGCCAAACTCATAGAGTGGAATCCGTTTGTTCATGGCCTTTTTTTGGGGGAGGGAGCAGGGGAAGAGGTGGTTATTTTACATTAGTGCCATTCTTCAGTGCTATGGTATACATATACACTTCAAGAATAACTGCTTGAAAGTCTGCCCAATCCAAGAGTGTTATCCAGCCTTTAGTAATGCAATTCAGTTATTAGTTTAAGTGACAATGAAATACCTCAAAAGACATACATGGTCACATTACCATTAGTAATATATCTTCTATATTTTTATATAGGACTATCTCTCTATCCATAAATCTTAAATTTATTTAAACAGAAGCTGTTACATTTATTATCTGGAAACACTGCAGTTAAAGGCATCATGGAAGATTTAAAGCAATTGTGACAAAACTGAAGAGTTTGAAATTAAGACAAACAGATGCCTTTAGCTTTCATGCACCTACTTGTCTGTTTTTATGGCCTACAACATCTTTGGCATTAATTATACTGAATGGCCATTACATCTGAGATATATATTCTACATATATTTTAAAAAGTGGTGTTTTTCAATGAGAACTTGAAAAAGTTCAGCTTTTTTCGAATATGTGGGGAAAAGAGAAACTTCCTTTGATGAACTGTTTAGAAGTAGACGTCAATAGACCATGAAATACATATTTTAGAAGAGGGTTTGGGGGGTTAAGGAAAAATAAGAAAATTAACTAACACTAAAGTAGAATAAAATTTCATGCTTATACTGCTTATAATCACTTTAGATGAGAGGAATTATATTTCTCATTTGCTTTGCAAACAGGAAAGCAATAAATTAAAAATTGCCCAAATCTGTCAGAGCAAACAAATTTGGAATCTGAGCTGTCAGAACAATTACAATATACATAAAAGATGAAAGCATAGCTCAAAAAACCAAACCATCTTCTGTAGCAAGATGCCCAAAAAGTCAGAATCAGCAGAGTCAGGAATATAAAACAGGAAACAAAAAACATAACATACAAGATAATTTTAAATTCTACAAGGTTAACTATTACAAGCAGAAAGCACATTGTCTCCCGTTAAATCAGTTAACAAATGGTAGCCAAGATTTAACAAGTAAATAAACATGCTTTTAAGTTAATTCCTGTTATACGGCTATGTTTTAAATGCGATTATAGTTCATTTGACAAAATAATTAATTGCAGTGAATATCTGATTGCAAACAAAGGATCTGAAAGGGAGTGCCAATTTCCCCCCATAGAAGTGTGGGAATGTGCCCTTCTGCCATGGGTCTCTTTTTACAGCTATGTAGCCCCAGTAGCACGCCGTACCTTGCTGAGAATGTAGATAACGTCACCACGTTTAAATGTCAGCTCATCAGGTATATCTCCTGTGCAGTCCCACAAACCTTGATAGAAATTGGCATAATCGGTATTTTTGCCATCTGCAAAGAAAACAGCATCTAATTACAGAAGGATAAAGATCAAGGGACTAAAGTTACTCTTTAAATCTCCAGATACTACAAAGCAATTTATTAGCACACATTTCTTACTCCTTTTTTTAGAAACAGCGTCTTCATATCATAAAAGCAAGTGGAAAACAAGTTTAATGTGTGAGCCCTTCACTGGCAAGTTGTATCACTTAAAGACATGTAGCTACAGGTTTTCAAAGCATTTTCCAGCTGCAACTTAAAGCAGCTACTTTTCCTCTACTAATATATTTCCAGCAAGCCATATTTGTATCTCAACTTGAAACTGATAAAATTGCTAGAATAGAATTAATAATAATCTGTGAAAGGAAGCCAAAGTAAGTATTTTGTGATATACTCCCCCTCCCTCTCCTGTTCGAACAAAACTAAATAACTTCTCTGAGAACCTTTGAGATAATTCTTGATTGTTCCTTCTGAAATATTGGAGAACTTGGAAACTGTTGCTGAAGCTGCATTTTAAAAATATTTGTGTCAGCTCCAGTTTAAGACATTAAGCTTTGGCTAAACATGCAACTACACTACAGTCATAAACTCATCCTTTTAACAGCATAAGCACAATGGATGTGCTGTGTTCAAGCTGCCATACAGACCATTAACTGATTGATTATTTAGCACTCTTTGCTCTGTAATACGGCAATAACACAGTAATAAATGCTTTGTCATACACTTACAATACAGAGTACATCTATTGAAACACAGCGCTTACACACGGTTAAATACACTGGCTGCTTCTGTTACACTGCAAACTATTTCCTGTTTTTAATTCCATGAGAATGGAGTGTGATGAGTTAATGCAAAAAGAATGTAAGCAATACCACTAAGATGACCAGTTACATTATGTATACACTAACCAGACAGAATGTATATGTACCAATAATTTACATCACTGGAAAGCTATCTTCTAATTCTGATAACATAAATATCACTGAACTGGCTGGATCAAGGCTGTCATCTTAGTTTTGTTATATGATCCTTGAACAGCAGGCTTGCTGGTTATTCCAACGTAGACCAGTTACATTTGCATGTCGTTAGCACTCTACACCATTATTTACAGTTTACAATTTAATCATGATTGGTTCACTTTATTACTGAACAAATCCTGCTAAAATATCAAGTATCAAGTGAGAGAAAGTGTCATGCTATAAAAAAAATATAGCAATATTCGACTTGTGTTCTTCCCTATTTTGACAAATACTTAAGATTTTTATTTTAATACTCTCTGTATGAGCACAAAGAGCTTGTTTTCTATTTATCTACTTCAGTCCGTGTTCTGTGCTATCTTGTTTTGATGGCAATACTGTCATAATGCTAAATATTCACAACCTTGAATATAAAGCTGCTCTGCAAGTTAGCCACCATTTAATTTTCCATAAACTGGTGATTAGTAGCTCCCATTTGCTATATAGCACTAGGGGGCGTTCTGACTACCAGTGCACAATTTCTTCTGTCATATATATATATATATATGTCATCATATATATATATATGTGTGTGTGTGTGTATATATATATATATATAAAAAAACTCCCAACCGTTCAGAAATAAGGGATCTGGTTATTGTAAAATGCGTAGACAGAATAATTTCAAGGGGAAGGTGGAATCAGTTTGAAATGTTGCACCTCCAAATTTTGGCCCCTCCTATTTCTCAGCTCATTATTCACCAATGTAGCATTAGACAATTATAAACAGTAACACAGATTAGCACCAAATTAATTTGTGATAAATATCAAAGCAGAATCCCTCCTAAGTCTTTTGACACTGCATTGATCACAGTTCCCAGCTCTCTCTCGTAAAAGATAATGTAAGTCCACGTGAGAAAAAACTAAAAGAGCTATTTTGATATATCCCACCTTTCAAATCTTTCAGCAGTTGTCTTATTGATTTGTTCTAAAATAACTGAATCGAGACTTTTACTTCAGAATTGCACTTAAATGAATCATGACTTTTCACACTGACGTTGATCAATTTAAGGTCTGTTCTTACCTTTATGTGCCTGAAGTAACTCCTGTTAACACTAATGGGAGTTACATGGGGAACAGCAGCAATAGAAGAGATCCCACAGCGGGTGAGACACATCTCTCCCTAGATGTTCATCATGAGCATTTAATTAAGCCTTAAAGTGGGAAAGCAACTCAACTAATAACACGGCAACGCCGGAAAAGATGCATTTTAAAATAATTGCAACAGTGAAGATGTTGCCCAAAGACTAATCATGGCTCTGTGTCCTCATTTGTGAATTCAACATAAGGCAAAGTTCTTTAAATCAGAAAGGTGCATTTCTTGGAAAAACATATACTGGTATACCACGAGCACAGAAATAAAAAATTGGGAGAGAAAGTGCCAGTGTAAGTTTGTGAACAACTATGCTGGTCTTCCAACAAGTGTTCATCTCAAATTCAAAATCACCTCTCATACCCATCAGCACAAGTTTCTCCAAATTCTGTAAATGCAACTACACGTGCATAAAAGCCAATTGTAAATTTAACTTCCGAATCTATACATCTAAAGGGTGAAATGTTTCATAAAATGATTCATACCACTTCACAAACACAGAGGTAGAACAAAAAACCAGTTGCAAAAATCTCTGCACAACACAAGCCCATTCTTTCTTACTTCAGCCCCTCTTTCAGTTGGAAAGGACCATGCCAAACTTCATTTGATTGCCTCTGAAGAACTGAATGAAACAAAACCAGGAGACCTGGGTAAAGCAATTTGGTATTTATACAGTAATGAAGTTATGTGGAGCTTCTGAAACACATGTAATACCTGAAAACAGCTGGTGGATTTAGCATCAAGAATTTATGTGCCCATTACAGTTCAAATTCAAAAGGTATTGATTTGCTGGCATTACCCTGTCACAATTACACTCTATCCTTATACAATGTGAAATGTTGCGTGCCTTAAAAATATTATGATGGCATAGTATTTTTTGCTAAACTAGAGTCTGTTGCATTTTGAAGGCATGGTCACTTAGGCCACAAATATGAATAAGACATGATTAAAAAAAATTTACATGTGTAGCAGAGGGTAGAAAGCAGTTTGGTTTTACCTACCCACTGCTTTTAATATTACCAAACAGAAGAAATGGCTGAGTAGGATTTTGGACAGGTTATTTCTCCAGGAAATACTTCTTTCTTTCCAGGACAGCTATCTGGTTGAACAACTATCCAACAGTTTCCAAAGCTCTTCCGTAAGAATTCCTCATGGTTTTCTTCTGCCATCTCTGTTTTTCCAGTAACAGCAATAGGAACAACAGATATTTTTGTCCAATATACTGATGAAAACACTTCAGAGTTTATTTGACACATCAAACAGCAACAGCTGTCAGCCTTCCTGACAGCAGGATCAGACTGTTTATTTCACTGAAAAATACTGGCACCTGACAATGCATGCTTGAAGAAAGGAAGGTGAACAGTTCAGGTAAAAAAAAACTGACAAGTATATCACTCAAGCATGCACTTCAAATATTGTAGACTGTTTAAAACTTAAAGAATGCCCATGGATTACTCAAGGGGAAAAAAATTGTAAGAATATTCTAACAGCATCAATAAACAGAAAAAAAACCAAAACCTGGAAAAACAGATTATAAGTACATATTTCAGAGGGATTTAACTGTGCTGTTCTGTTGCAGCCTAAGCCAATCTAACTGCAGGCTGTTCCATTCCTGTCCCCTACCTTGTGACAATTCTGGCACTTGCCATTTCTGAGCACAAACCTGACAGAACACTAAACTGACCAAAACGAAACCAGGAATTACAGCCCAAGTATGGAAATGCACTACTTAAAACATTACAGTAGATCTGACTGTGCCTGATTTCCACCAGACTTGCATTTTAACATTGATGGAATCTAAGTTAGCAAACCCTACTACAGTGGTGACTTAGAGCTAGTAGTTATATTATCTCCTTACGCGTTGCTTGTAGAACGAAGGAACACGAGTGTATGTTTTCCTTTCACCACTGTGGTCCACTGCCCAGTATATTAAATAGCTTGCCATGCTGATTCATGTTCCTTGACTCTTGATCAGATTCTTCAAAAGTTTATAGTGTCAGATTTGAAGATTATTAGTCTGGGCTACTTAACAATATTTGAAGAGAGGTGAACTGTATCCCCTTTTGGTGATGATGTTCTCAATATTTACCATACTGAAGGTTTAAAGATGGAGAGAGGTGAAGTTCAAAATTAACACTACCAGAACGACTCCGGCTTACTCAAAGTGATTTTGACTCTCAGTGTTGAGTCTCGATGCCCAGATAAGACATACCATGTCAGAGAACAGTTATTTGTTTGTTCTGATGATGCCCTAAACTGCAAAGAATGCCTGTTACTTACTCACTCACCCTTTTTCCCACATGCCAGAAAAAATTATTAAGTAAGGGCAAAATAATTGTAGTGTATTTATTTGGACTCAACTTCTTATCTATATTATACTGAACAGATTGAGCTTTCTCACTTTTCTTACTGTTCCTTAATTACTCTAAAAATCAGGGTATTTACACTGAGACGGAACAGACATGACACTGAAATAGTGATTGTAGAAATGATAACAGGTAGATAGTGGTAGCAAAAAAGACCCAGCAAGGCACATTATGTAACTGAAACTCTTCAATGTTTTGGTATTTTTAAATAATTAGGTCATCAGCAGTCAATATAAAGCTATCCAGCAGCAACAGCCAGCACCAAGACTGAAGGAATAAAAACTCAAATCTGCACGTTAATTGAACTAGAGATAAGTTAGGGCAAGGAAAGAGTAAGAAAAAAGAAAGGGTTTTTGCACTTATTAGGCTGAGCTCACAGACATCTTGCAGAACATTTTCTGTGAAATTTTAAAAAAAGTTTACTAAAGCTAGGTAATAAATGAAATTTAAGAATGTATGCACTGTTTGTGTGGAAATTCATGAAATATTCTTAAGTCAGGTTAGATATTTATGATGTGATGCCTATCAGAAATACTCATGTCAACTCAGTCCTAAAAGTCAAACGAATTTCCAGTGTTAAATAGTTAACTAAGTAAGATCAGATCAAATCAGAAAAGTATTGCTGGAAATGAATCTGTTATCTGGGGAGAACTGTTATGGTATTTTCAAGGACATAACACAAATACTAATAAGAGTGATAAGGCTGCTCTCATAGCAGTTGAACTTTTAAGAAATGAAGGTGCTGATATTTTGATTTCTTAAAAAGTACACCATTTAGAACTTCAAGAAGATACATTAGTGGAAAAAATGCTGTTGGCAACTTTATAATTGGATTGACCCCATGCTCCATTATGACAACACACTCTTATAATTACGGTAATGTCTAAATGAGTACTAAATATTAAGGCTGTAATGAGTCATGTTGTTCTACACATGTTTTTAGCAGAGCACAATGCTAACAGCATCTGATGACTTGGCTCTTATTTCCTTTCCAAGAAAAGCAACCCAAAACTCCTCACAGCAACCTGTTCCTGCTTTCCTGTATGGGTCAGGAAATCAGGCCTCTGTTTCCTCTCCACATGTTGCAGCAGGAAGAGCACTGCAGAGCTACTTCCTAAAGGAACTCTTCTTGCCCACCCTTTCCTTGACAGCCCTGAAAGAATTATGTGTATTATGTACGATGGGGGAAGGAGAGCCAGACTGCATGTCAGTGCAGGTCACAGTTACAATGCAGCAGATCTCAAAAAGGTGTAAGGTCTGATAAGAAGCAAGTCTTCTCTACTTGCTGTGTCAAATCACCAATAGTTTATCTAAAGGTCTGTGCCCTTGAAGCACATATATATTTTGTTTTTAAGCATAACTGGAAATACTTTTCCGTCAAGAAAAGTTGTCTAGCCATGTGATTTTACATGGTGTATGCAGTTATTTTTCCAATCCCAGAGATAATTAGCACAAGGGCAGTTTGCCAAGCTAAAGCTGAGAGAATATCCTTTACAGCTTTCCTGGGCATTTGTGTCCTTTTCCAATTTTTATGCTGCTGTCACTGGACTCTGGCATTTCTTAGCCAATTCATTTGCTTTCTGTGGTAATCATATGCAATGAAGATATGCATGGCCAACATTTAAACAGGCTGCAGATCAATTAGTGGTCTTAAGTTTATCTGATTTTTATCAAAGAAGACAGAGCTTTGGGTCGATTGTCAGAGCCTGTGTCAAGTTGACCTTTTCAGAGATGTCTACATTGCCAGTCCCTTGGGCAACTTGTTGTCCCCTGTTAGTCTCTGAATGGCAGAAGTCTGTTCTGCTCAAGCACAAAGTATACACAGATGTCTATATTACATTCTTATAGGTTTGACAGCAACTGCATGTTGTATCTATAAACTGTCCTTTAGCAGTGACACTTCCTCAATGATGATAAGCTAATTTATGCAACTAAATCTCCTTTGTGCAGAAATGAAAGCTAATTGAGTCATTACAAAGTAATTCAGGAAGGAATACCTTGTATAAATTGGCTTACTTTATAAATCCTTCTCAAGTGGTTTTCATGCATCCTAAGTGGTGCTAAGCAGTTTTGCTGCTATCAAACACCCAGGTGAAAAAGACAGCTTTTCAGAGCTATAAAAACATTATTTTAAAACAGCAAAGCGAAGAAACGAGAAAATAGAGGTAAAAAGAAAGTGCATACACAAAATAAAGAGGAAAGATTTTAATTACCTGAAACAGTGGTAACTTTCTCCTGGCTCAGTTTTCTTGGCACTTCAGCCTTTGAAAGAACACGTTCTTCTGCAAAACACACAACTGCAAATGAAACTCTGAAGGACACCTCAGGTGACAGGAATTACAGCCCACATCAGTCTGAAAGCCACACTCTACATTTCCAGATCATAAGCCCTGTTTACTATTTTGCATTTGCACAGAAGTTGGAACATTGTTATTCCTGTGGTTTCCCCCACCCATCCAAACACTCCAGGAGCTTTCTTTCAAAATCTCAATTGTGAACATCTGTTTCCCTTTTCACTCTGCTCTGAATGCAGTAATATAGAGCTGCAGTTCTGCTGTTTTTCAGTTATTCCAGGACAACTAGAATGAGGGTCCTATTCTGCTACGTACATTTCTTGCCAGGATAAAGAAAAGGAAACCGAGGATTGAAAAAGTATCCTCAGCCCATGGAAGAATTCTGAAGTTCTTAAGAGAAGTATGCATAGAAGGCAGAGGACATCTTACTTTCAACACTGTCAGACAGACACGCTAGCTGGACACCTGCATGATGGGAACACAGCCACTACAGATGCCATGCATTCAGTGCTCCTGCCTACTTGCGCCTGACCGTGATTTTAAGCTAACCCAGACTGTATCAAATAACTCAGTGCAAGTTCAGGAGACAAGAAAAGACAAATCCTGGCGGTGATCAGCTCTGAAGCATGTTTTCTGGCTAGCAGGCTTGGAAAACTCTGAAATTTCAAAAGATGTGCTCCATACTCCTTGTCCAGCACAGACAGGGAACTCTCTCATGCCCACACCCTCACTTCAGTAAATCCACACTCCACTCGGGACAGGGACATAGGACCTGCTCCTTACATTTCAGAGTCAACAATTCTGTTGATGAGGCAAAAAAGGGAACAAACTATGATGGCTTTTAGTTGTATTCTTTCTTTAGGTTCATAAGGAAGTAGAAACAGATTTTTCTTGGCCTTTACAGTATATCAAAACTGACAAAGTTGCTGTACTGAATGAGGAATTAGTATATTGATAAATCCACTTCTCTAAATGTATTAAAAATCCAATTCTTGTTTAACTATTTGGCTTTGCTACTCATCACATCTTAAAAAGAAGCATGAATATCTGTATAAGGCACACATTTCAGCAACTAATTTTGATATTTCATTAATGACAGACAACAGATACAGAACTCATAGCTTTTAAAATGTTCCTTATTGTGCAACTTTTATGTAATTGCTATCTACTTTGACAAAGTGAATTTTATATCAACAGTTCAAAGGATTTTTAGCCTTGTAAAAATTTCATCTATCCACAAGACTGTTCCTGCAAACTTTAAAGCAGATGTTTAAAGCACAAGAGTAGACCTGTTGAAATGAGTATACATAATTGCTGCTAACCTAGATACGCAGTCCTACAAATATTACAATTACATCATGAGATTCACTCTCCAGAGAGCTTTGAACTCCTGCCCTACTAGGCCAGCAAGAGTTTTTTGCTGCCTGACTCCTGACTTGCTAAAAAACTGGCTGAGATGTATATAAACTATTATTCGAGCCAAGGAAAAAAACAATAGAAAGGGGAAAATCTGAAGCTGTAGTATAACACAAAACACTCCAAACTATTTACTGCATTCAAATGTATTCCCCTACTTGGCATAGCACTTGTTGCACATTTCCAAGTACACTCATTTGTTTATTTTAAGCACTCACAAGTAGAGCATAAATGGCAAAAATACATCCCTATGTGCTGTCTGGAGCACTAGGAGGCACTGTCATTCTGTGCCTTCCCTACCACTATTACACCACTCAGAGGTAATATTATCTCATTATTAGTCACATACTCTAGATTGCTCCTTTCCCCCAGAACCCAGTTTCATCCAACACACAGAGTATTATACATTGATTAAATAAACGTTGATATTGCATGTTATTGAATGTTTGAGGCTACACAAATTGATGTGTTGAATGTACTGTGGATTTTAACGCTATCGCTGTCGCGGTCATCAGACTAGCTTAAGCTGAGGACTGACTTTAGGAGAGGGTATTTCAGCTGAAGTAAAACAGCAGAGGAGGTTTGAAGAGATTTTTTCATAAGGTAGAGTTTTATACACGTAGATTGCATTGTGGTTTCATGGAAAAAATTTAGAACATGTGCATTCCCCTTCCTGAAAAACATATTTCCTAGAAACAGAAGTTCACCAGATCCATATCTGAAGATGAGAAAATGTCTGAAGCACGGCTCTTTGAATACTAAAAAGGTCCCAAATTCAAAAAAAGGCTGTCCATATTAGCGTACTGGTTTGGATCCCAATCATCCCCACTTATCCCACTTTGCTTTACACCACAGAGTTGTCACAGAGAGGAAAAAATTTCAGGTGCAATTAGACTGAAAGAGGCACTCCAGAAGCACACAACATGATCCAGCTGCCAACAGGCATTCAGTCCATGGAACCAGACTAAAGTGACTCCATAGGAAACCTCTTCCAAAACATGCATCGCATGAACATCAGGTCCTCAGCGCAAACTTGTGCTTTATGAATCTGTTGCAAATGGTGCACACTACTTGATAATGCAGTCATTCTCACAATGGAGCAGATGCAATAGGCTTGGCTTCGGCCAGCAAAAAAGAACCTACAGTTCTTACTAGTGTTTTCTGGTATTATGTCCTGAAGCAATAACTATGTGCAGGAGACGTCCTTTAAACACAGCAACCTCAATTACCCCAAGAATTACAGCTGTAGGCAGATGCAACCTACTAAAGGTTGTGTTGCAACATGGAATAGAGTCAAAAGATGAAAAATTAAAAAAATACAGCAGAATTCCTTCTGTATTATTAAGATACTGTGTAAGAGGAGTCATGCAGACCTTTAAAATAATGCGAGGAAACAATGTTTCCTCTGCAACTCTTCTTCACTGTCACTACCACTGCAGTGAGAAAATACTCTTCTCCACCTTCTCACTATGTCAAAATGAAACTAATCAACACTAATCCAAGCAATGGACTCTTCCAGAGCTGTAGATCCAAAGAACCCTTGAGATACAGGTTATGTTCCATACTCTGCTGGCACTCAGAGACTCTAATGGCAAACAACCTACAAAATTCTTGTGGTGACAATGCAATAAGGAACTAACTTATTTTTTTAAGGGGTTTTTTTTCAGTTAATTCATGAAACCTGTTGAAAAAAAGGTACTTATTTAATTTGCAGTCTGAAGAAAACACAGAAAAATAATTCACCCAATCATAATACACCCAAATACAGAAAAATAATTCACCCAATAATACACCCAATCATAGAGGATTCTACCATCCTCACAATATAAAAAGTGAACAATAAATTCTACACTAGCTGAGTTTTTTACATGAATCCATTGATTTTTTTTCTTCCAATTTCTTTTTTTAAAGGTGCAGGGAAAAAAAAAATCAGAACACTTGAGTATAAAATGGATAAGAGCTTGGCTTGAACAGTGCATTCTTTCAATGGAATGTGGTATTTCCATGATAAATAGGCATACACTTAGCAGTTTCCTCTACTAACACACTACTTAACCATCTTTTTACATTAAGAGTCTAATTTAATGCCATTATTAATTGGTGCTCTACTGTATTCTAGTCTCTGACACATCGTCATTGCATAATACTAGTTTATACCTTGGATAATCCTCGTTTGTGGGTTAATATATTCTATTCAACACTTTAATAACAGTAAACAAAACCAGCTCAGTTATGCAGCAAAATCTACCAAACCACACAGATGGTTATAAGGTTTTCATTGTGTGGTTTCCATAGCAATCATATTGCAAATCTGGAAGCCTCTTGCAAATAAGCAGCTTGTATTTACATGCCTCTCGGCTGCAGTATGGAATTCTACAACATGTGAAGTTGTTATTCCAATCACATATTGTTAGAAAAATCATTGGAAGATGTTTTGATCAGTTCAGATAAAAACTACTGCAGTGAACTAATTTTTCATCTATATCATAATGATACAAGCAATCACACGCTTGTAATGCACATTAATGTATCTTCATTTGAAATCTCACTGTGGTGTCAGAAGGTTATAAACATACACACAGGTCTTGTAAGACAGACCCCCACAAAAACACTTGTATTATTAAACAAACACATTAAAAAAAAAAATCACAGGTCTTTACTATTGTACTCAGCAGAGATGACAGACACACGCAAACAAAAAGGTGTGTACATGAAGAACTCTGCTGACACTGAACATCACAGGTCTATACTGCTTTGTGCAAGTAAAAGATACAATGGCATGGTAATACCAAGAGTATTACTCCTCCACACTATTTTTTTGCTACCAAATAATGACTCTGCACAAATGCAAATAATTAGTTTCAAACATGAGTAAATGCTTACCGTGGGAGTCAAGAGCTATTCTCTCCCAGATTTATAATTTTATGAATTGACCTAACCCCATAATAGATGAGTTATTACTCTAATAAGGAACAGAAATCAATTCAGCTATGTAATTTTTTACAAAAATTAGCAAGAACTGTATTTTTACAAACAAGATTATTTGTTTAGAGGAACATTTAAGAAATTCCAAAGAAGGAGTAATAAACACACAAAGTTTAAGAACAAAATCATTTTTATAATTTGGCCAAACTGACACCTTCTGCTAGCATTAGTAGTGATGGCTAGAGACCATCTGGGGTCAAAGGAATAAGAATTAACACCCTGTTTTATGCAGGGCCAGCAAGTTGTCTTACCTGAGGACAAGTGCTCCTCAGCCTTGGTGAGGGGGTCCTCTACAGTATTCTCACTGTATACACACCTGTGCATGCCTATACACTTCACCCAAACTCTTACAGGGTTTTAGCCTAAGCAGCTTGATATTCCAGAAATCATGTGTTGCTTCATCTTAGGCTTACTTGCCCTGGTGTGTTGGGATCACCCTGCATGGCTCGACCTTAAGGAGAAGGAGCTGTGGCATTGAGCTGCACGGTTCGACCTTAAGGAGAAGGAGCTGTGGCACTGAGAAGCTGGTAAACAGCTGGATATCTGCACGGCTCGGCCTTGAGGAGAAGGAGCTGTGGAAAACAACT